CTCATGAAAGAAGAGCAGAGAAAGGACCCCAGCCATTTAATAATGCCAGGATAAAACTGCTTAAATAGAGCCTCCACCTGTTTCTGATGTAGCAGCCTATGCAGACACTGCCTGATGCTGAATCCCTTGTGCTAAATTGCACAAAGCTTTAAAAAATTCTTGCTTGGTACCTGCAGGATTAGAATCTCCATTATTTCTGTCTCTCAGAGAATTCAAGAACCAGAATCCGGTAACAAAATCACCTGACTGTCATATAGCAGAGAGTTGTGATGATTGCTCATCTAAGGTAGAAATGAAATAAATACATGAATGGAAGACAAGCTTAAATAAATATCAGAACCATTGAAAACAGCATTTTATAAAACGCACTAAGAAAATGAGTTTTTCTTTTTAAAAGTTTAAGCCACTAGCCTTTTTTTCCATTCTCCTGTCACACTGCTGGCCCATTGTCTTTTCTGCCTTCATTTGAAGCCAACCAGACAGATTTATAACGAGATGCTAGTCCTTCTCTATTCTACTGACAAATATGCGGCCCATCTGCCTCCAATCAATGATGGAGCACGTGGAGATGGAGCAATGGGATATTTTTAAACACTCCTTTAATTAATTCATTCCAAGGACTTGGCACTTGGTGCCTTGGGTGAGGGGCAGGCAGCGGGAGGAGAGAGGAGCCTCACGATCTCGATAAATAAAGAGATTTGTCCTAATCTGAATTCTAAAGCCCTTTCTATGAGACAGCCTTCTTGCCCCCAACAAGCTGTTAAGAGCATAGAAGAGATGACTGCCAGCCAGGCAGTGAATGGCATTTGTTAGATCTTTTAGGCTTCGAAGACAAGTTCTTAAAAACTACAGTTTTATCTTGAGAATGACTCTTTTACCCACTAGAAGAGTTTTAAATGATCAAGGTCTTATTTGATTTAAATAATTATAGCAGGAGATTGAAATGAAGACCAGATTCAGTTATTCTGAGAGGCCAGGGGCGGGGGAGGTGCTAGGGGGGAGGGAGTTCAGTATGGAAAACAATTCAGTTTGCCTTTAAAAGGGTGAAATCCAGACATCTGGGCATTCTGTGATACAGGCTGGAGGAAAATGGACTTGGATGGGTGGGGGGTACATTTCATTGGAATCAACCTGGGCTGAGCTTCATAAGGTGAACAAGCTTTGCAATCCAGGATCTGTAGGATTTATGACACACTGACCCAGAAATCTCAGACTTTGCTTTTAAATATTGCTTGTTTCTGCAGCCCAAGCCCTGTCTCTTGAGGGACTTTTCCTTGTCTGACAATTCCCTTAAATCTGGAGTCAGAGGACACACACTTCATCATGTTGCCTAAAAGGAAAAGTGGCTATTGAAACTGATGGCAGGCCTGTCTGGGCTTTTTTTTTTTTTTTTTTTTTTTTTTTACATACTGGCTTTTCCATTTCACAAGTTTCATTTGGGTTTAGAAATTGTTTCTTAAGAATCATGCTTTCAATCACTCACAAGAGGCTCTCTTAGTAAGCATGAAATTGCTTTCTCATAGTTCCAGACATTTTACCCAAGCAGGTTGTTTTTCATGTTCTTGAAAATGAGAACCTCAGAGAAGCCCCAACCCCTCCAGAGTTCAAACCCTATCTATGCCCTCCACTCACTTCCCAATAAATCCACTCCCTGGACTCTTCCTCCAACTGACCTCAACCTCTTCCCCAAGGGGAGAAGGGAGAAGGTGATCGTTATGTTTTGTTTTGTTTGCTTGAAATAATAAATCCAGGGTGTTTCTTGCCAGGGTGTTTCTGCTGCCAGCGGTTTTCTGTTTCCCTTGCTTTCTAAATCAAACTGAAACTCAAGCCCTTGTGCTTGGCTTTTGCCCTGACCCCTTGACTCCTGGGAGTTGATCAGAAGACAGATCGCCTGGGGTCCCCGACATACATGGTGACCTAGTCTCCCGTGCCCCCACGAACATATTTCTAAAATGCCCATCTCCACAGCATATGGGTGCATCATTATAATCCAGTCAATAACAAACACCAGCCTGTCTGCCACCAACTACTTTATAAGCTTTTCCTAACTTGAGTCAGGGACCTAAAACTATAATTCTAGCCATGTCAGGGGACTCAGAAAAAAGAATGTTCAACTATCAAATTTGACCTTTTTTTTGCAAGAAAATACCTCTTAGGGCCTGAGAACTACCAAAGAGTCCACTGTTGACTTTTATTGGACACCGGATGTCAATAACCCCAATTCTAAATCATCAGAAATCTCAAATTAGCAGACACTGTTTGAGTATGCTTTGCAAAAGCAAAGACCAAGTGCACAGACTGAGAATATGAATATTCCAAAAGACAATTTACAGAGTGTGCCGGCCAAAGGTCTGAAAGAAAGTCAATAATCTCCTCTCCAGACACGCCTCGTTCACTCTTCAATGATAACTGACATTTCCTGATGATAACCCCAATATCACTTTATCTTATATCAGTTTCTTCTTAAGGTTCATTTGCATTGGAGCATCTTCTTCACAGTTAATGGAACTATCAAATGTGATGATGTACTCAAATGAGCTTTGAAAGTGGAGCGCAAAACAAACATAAGATGTCACTAATGCTTCTGATCAGTCTTTAAAAATTGATAACCCACATATGTTGTTGTCTGTAACTACATCACCAAACAAGTGATAAACAGAATGTTCCATTTACCATACTACCCATCCCCCAAACATCCTGGAACAACAGAGTTGAACTGAAAACGCATACATTGAAAGCATATAATTACATTGCTATGTTGGCATTTTCCCCCCCCTCAGCTATGTATAGTTCAAGAACACAGTCTCAAAATTGTTAGAAAGCAAAGGCTAATAAGGGAGATCAGCCTGAGGATTCTTGGTGAATTTCCCTAGCTCAGTTACATTAACCCAAGATCTCAAAAGGCAAGAAAATCTCACCAAACCATAAAAACAATTTACTAATCAAAGTCCTTCACTAGCGCCAGTCTTCTAAAAGTCAGTTTCCAGACCATTTATGACTTTGTATCTGCCCCCAGAGAGCCCAGAAATATCCCCAAAACTACTTAGTCAATACTCCTGGAAAAAAAGAGAAGAAAGAAAAGACCAGGGCTTAGGAGCATGCGACCTGTTCATTATTACTGCTTTAAATAATAATGGGCCATAGATCTTTCTACAGTTGTTTCCCAATTTTTTTTTTTTTCAGTTCATTCATCTAAATGCAAGTTCCCTTGGCCAATCTTAACACACACATTGTGCAAATACAGCATTAATTGAATGTGAGTGGTTTAAACTACTGAAAATCACTTCTGCTCTATATTCAATGTTAAATCATTTGGCAGCTCTCCTTTAGGACAAAGGTGAGATAAACACACTTAATTTGGTGATTTTTGCTGATGTCTTAACTTCCCCCATCACCATCCGGCCATCAACAACAAAGAGCGAGGTGAACGCAGGATTTGAAGGGCCACTGCCAATCATGTCTTTCACAGAGGTCTTCCAACTTAGTCTTTAACGGAGGCATAAAGTCTAGAAGGACTCTGAAGGCAGCCAGAAATGCCTTTATATATCTTTTCTAATATGAAAGACTGATTAATTAAGCCAGGAAGGCACTGAGGTTGAGTCATGTGGACTCAATATTTAATTCTAGAGATCTGTTTTTAGACAATGTTCCACCTTCCCTGTGTCTAAGTGCCTACCTACTTGAAGCATCTTTTGGAGAAATAAAATTGGGAAAGTTCCACCCTGCTAAACTATTAGGATGAAAAGAGAAGAACTCTCATGCTCCCACAAGCTCATGGTCACTGCCAGGGACCAGTTTGGAAGGACACCAAGGGACAGAAGAGGGGTGAGTCCCTGCTCCTGGGCACATTTTTAGACATTTTCCCTTTGTTGGAGGTTGGAATCTAGACATCTGACTTTGAAACTGACCCTTCACTTCTACTTACAGATCCATTTCCCCAAAACGAGACTGTGGACTTGGTAAAATTTATTGGAGAGAAACTGTGGAAAGTGTCAGCATCAAAGACTCATGCTCTGTGCTGAGAGTATTAGCTTTCCCCATAAGGAGGATCCAGGGACGACTTGCCTGAGTAGCTAGTGTAATTTTGTGAATTAACCAAAGGGTTGCGCTCCTACTCTGGCTCCACCAAGCAGGAAACATATTCTGGAAAATACTGGTCCACCTGGACCCTTCATTCTGGACATGTCATTCTGGACCCTTCCTTTGAGGTGTGAGTATTCAGGGGATCCTTTTGTCCCTAGCAGCTCCACCTCCCTCTTGCTAAAGACAGCTGTCTTTATTTATTACCGAGAGCTTCTCCATCCAAGAGAAACCTCAGGAGGAAGGGACCACTTCAAAGCCAAGGCAAGAATGGGGAAGCTAGGTTTCCCCTCCTGGAGTCTGGGGACTCCGGTCTCTGCCCAAAACCACTTATTTTCCCGCCTCTTCCCGGGAAGCACCCAAATCCCTTCCTTTCTTCCTTAGGGGCTCATGGGGAGATTCCCCCAGGCAGGAGCAAGGAGCGATTGGAGTCCGCGGGGCATGCACTCTGGAGACTTTGCATATCGGACATTCAAGGCCGCGCGCGCTGCTCCTCGCCCCGCCCCGGCCCAGGTCCCGGCTTCTCCATTCATTCCAGAATGGTCCCCACCTTCCAGCCCGCGCGCGCTCAGGATCTGTCACGCACACCGTGCCCAATCCCTTATTGTTTTTAAATCTTAAAAGTAACCACAAGAGGCTTTTCTTCCCTCGCACTTTTTCACACCTCCTTTGTACCCTTTCAATTACAGTGAAATAACCCACGGCCTCTTGCATCTCCAAAGGGTTAAAGCAGCAAGCTTCTTAAGGGAAAAATCAATTTTCTCTCCACCATCCCACCCCCCAGCCAAGCCATTGCTCCACCACCGACTCCGAGGCCTGGAGCCGACCCTCCCAGTCACCACCCCGGATAGGGGACCACCACCCCGCACCCCCGCACCCCCATCCCGCTTCCCCGTGGGCGCAGAGAAAAACCCCCTCACCCTTCGGTCGATGCCATGGTCTGGGGAACGCCCCCACCTCTTCGGCTCAATTCGGCAGCAGCGGGCAAGTGAGTGAGCAGGCGCGGGGGTGAGCGCTAGAGTGTGGTCCGCGCGGTATTTAAGGGGGAGCCTCTCCCCGCCCTTCCACCCCCCTCCTGGGTAAGCCCTTTAGCGCCTCAACGGGAGCTGGAGGCTGCAGCCGGGGCTAATCCGCGTCTCCGCTCCGCACCGCGCGCGTCCGGGGCTCCCCTCCGCTGGCGTCGGTGGTGCCTGGCGGAGCGCTTGTGGGGGGGCTTGGAAGGGGGTTTCCGCGCGAGCGCCGCCCCCGGGGCTGCCACGGGGCGCGCAGGGGCCAGGCGCCCCGGCCGCTGCCACCTGTGCTCGCTGCTGCAGGGAGCGGGCGCGGCGCGCGGCGGAGCGCAGCGCAGCGCAGCGCGGAGGGTGGTGGCCGGGCGGCCGTGAATGTGTGCGTGCTGAGTGTGCAGGCAAGTGTGTGCGTGCGTGCAGGCGTGTGCTGGTGTGCGCGTCCTGGGGGAGGCGGTGGTGGCTGCAAGCCTGGCTCGGCGCCGGCCAGGGAGGGATTGCAAGGTTTAGCCCCGCCGGAGCTGGGGATTTGCAGGCGATCCCTCTCTATTTTCGTCGAGAGCTGACATCACCCGCGCCGCCGCCTCGAGAGACTCCTTTAACTGCCGCCTCCTCGCCCCCCATCTCCAGACACGGTCCCTCCTCTGCTCTCCCTCCCCCTCACCCGCACCCCCCAGCTTCTCGCCATAAATTAGCCAAATAAGAAAAGAGGCCCCGGTGATCGCCCGGGAAGGCCTGGGTTACCGGTGGCTGGAGCCCAGTATCTAAGGAGTCGCTATTGTTTCCAAACAGCTCAGGCTCGCGTGGCCCCGGGTCACCCTGCGCGGGGCTAAGCGCAGGCCAAGGCACGGAGACCTGGGATGCCCCTCCGTCCCTTTGAGCAGCCCCGGGTGCTTTGCCACACTCCTTGGCACACTTGCTACAGTTGAAACCCTCTCCCAAGCTCTCCCTCACAGGTGGTGTTAGGGGGAAAAGGATGTCCTAAAGCTAATTCCATACAGGCTTTGTGGGCTCCACCCCCATCCCATTGGGGCTGCCCTATAACAGTGGCACCCCCCCACCCCCCCAACCTCCCACGACCCCGTACAGGGTCCAGACGAACCCAAGCGGCCTAAGCACGCAGGTGGCGTGGCCAAAATGCAGCCCAGCTGCGCGCCCCCCTCTTTCCACTGCCGGAATAAATCTCTGGCCTTCAATTATTCATCGGGATTAATATTAATTCGGCTCCCTGGGGGCGGCGGGGCTGAATACCGGGTTGGGGGGGTGGTGCGGTGATAGTTTCTTGGTTTTTTTTTTTTTAAGCAGAGAGGTCGGTCTGCAGGTGATGCTGGCTAAGCTCAGCGAGATAACCCAGGCTAGTGGCGCGGGACGTGTCTCCGCCCACCTGGCTCTGCCCGCCACTGGCTTCAGAGCCGGGGGCGGTGCGCAGAGACAGATGGGCCTGGGCAAGAGAGTGTGCAAGCCTCCCAGGCGTCTTTGCATAATAATAACGAGATCCCTGCAGATTTTATTATCTGTGGGACACGGCAGACACCTATGACTCCACCACCTGCCAACTCTGTGACCACCGAGCAAAGAAAGTCTCACTTTGCTGTTCTGGAAAATGGGACCAAAACTCACCCCCTAGAAAGAGTGCTGCAAAGTAGCACTGCTTCAAAGATGTGCGCCATGCCAGCCTGGGGCTTGGGTGTAGCAGGGTCTCTGGAGCCCCAGTGCTCAGGTAATGGGTCGGATCTGCTCCTGGATGTCTCGGCTGTCTTCTTCCTCTGAGGAAGAGTCTCTTCAGGCCCTCAGCTGTGCTGCCCTTGTCAGAAACTGGAAAGCAGCAGGTCACATGGAAATCCCCAGGGCTCATCCCAGGGACAATGCCAGGGGACTCCATTTCCCAGCAGGATGGCTTAAGTGGTGAAGTGCCTGGTGCTGGTATGCTGAGAATTTGAGTGCTTCACCTTCCGGTGGGGTGGGCTAGGGCAAACTCCTCAACTTCTCTTTATCCCACCTGCAAAATGGGAATAGCAAACCCCAAACCCGCCACTGCAAAGAGAACTATATGGCTATGCAGAGTCCTGAAACTAGACCGTGAACCCTCAAAGCTTTTCGGTTGAATCTAAGGGCCCTGGGCTGATAGATAGGTTCTTGTGTACAATAGCCAAGAGTGAATAGGCAGATGAGAGAAACAACAAAACAGAAAACAACCAAGTAGAAGTCAAAGAAAGCACTCACTCCCTCCCTTAAGCTCCCTCCCCAAATCTGAGAGCAAACATCTTCCTCCCTCTGTGCCAGCCCCCCTCTCTCCTCTTCCTGTCCTCCTTTCTTTTCCTGTCTACCCCATTAGATTAATCAGAGCTACATATTTTCATCCCGGAACTCTCGCAAACCCCTTAATTTTGCATTTTCTTTTTAAAAATATAATTCTTAATGTATCCATCTGTGTTCAATTAATGTAATCTGGCACATGTATTGAAAAATAATACCCCATAGATGAAAAACTACCTTCCTGCACCTTGATGGTCCGGCTAACATTTCCTTGTCTTTAGTCCCTTCAAGGGTACCTGTGTGACTTTGTGTCTGAAATTATGGGGGGACAAGCCTCTACAGTCTCATTTTTCTCTTTACCTTTTCGGGGTTTTATTGCCCATTCTGCTGAGGTGGCAGTTGGAGAACAAAGCCAGGGACTCTCTCCCAGGTCTGGAGGGGATGTGGGCAGCACCACTGCACCTCCTTTGGAATGTGCAGGAATGAGCAAGAATGAACTATTCCATCATAATCCCTCCATATCTGCACACAGTCCTGGGGCTGAGCCCACCCTTCATTGACACTCGCTGCCAAGAGCCAGGTACCGCTGGAACATACGCACCGTGGACTTGAAAGGGGAAAATGGATGGGGTTATTTTCACTTTTTGAACCATGCATTTTAAAAACACTCTTAATTATGTTCTCAGTGGTCAGGAAAATCATGAAGCACAGCCAGAGTAGATGGGCGCCAGGGCGTCCCTTTGTCACCTTGTCTATAAATAGCTCTGCTGGGAAACGTGACATCCCATCCTACACTTGAGAGACATTTGCATTCAGCTGCCCTCGGAGACAAGGCCTATTAAATCATGTAGAGTATGCCACAGATAATTCTGGATAATAATCATTAGCCAGAAAGAACTGGTTCTCTTTCCTTGGACCAGAGGAGGCCCACTGAGATTCCTACCAATTCTTCCATCCTTAAGCAAATTGGAGCATTGCTTTCAACACAGGCTGCCCATCAGAATAAGCAGAGGGAGCTTTTTAGAAAATAGCAGGGATCAGGTCACCTGCCAGAGATTTGGATTTTTTTTTTTTTTTCAGTCTGAAGTGGGGCTTGAGGGCCCTAACTTCATATTTTTAAAAACTTCCCCAGATGATTGACAGCTGTGCAGGCAGCATGGGGAACCACTAGGCTAGAGGTGGCTCAGCAAGATAGGGTTCCAAAAACAGGGGCCCCGAATAGTAGTTGGGGCAAATTGGCATGGTCAGCCTTTGGAAAGACAAAACCAAGGAAGGCATGATACAAGGCTGACCTTCCTTTCTTCAAACACAGGCAACTAAAAATCTCTCCAGGCAAAATGACTGCACAACTCCTGGCATGTCCCGAGCGATCAGAAAAGGATCATTCTTGACATAGGAAGCAGCTACTTGCTCCCAAGTTACCACTTGAAATTCTAGCTTCCCCTAAAACATCTAAAGTATGACCCCAAATTCTGGAGGATCAAAATACCCAGGTTTCTTTGTTTGGCATATGCAGGGAACTCTGAGGGTCAGCCATGAAACCACACTGCCTCTGTGCATCAGAACTCAGCTCTGCACCAGGCAGACCTGCTCTCAATTCTGTCCCTGCCAAATAGGTACTGCCTTAAGCTGCACACTTTAGAGTCTCAGCTGCCTCATCTGAAACCCAGAGAATGGGCTAATGGCCACCCCAGTGTCATCACAATGATTAAATGAGAAATATTTGGGAAATAGTTCTAAGTGTGGCTTGTCAAGAGTGATCAACAAAGTTTCGTTCTAGATAGGCAGGAACAGCAACATGTCCACAGTCTAGTTTACCAATGAGCTCACATGAAAACCTAGCCCCCCTTAATGCCACCTAAAATATTACCCCATTAACTGGCTTTTTTTTAAATTTTATTTTTATATTCCCCATACAATTGCAACCCCCTTATTTTGACCCCAAACTCTCCTTTCCCTGCCCCCTGCACCATAGTTTGTCTCTGGTTCATAGTTGTTTGTTGATTTTGATTTTTTCTTTCTTATAGCTATTCTTTTTCCTGGTCCCTTATTTAGGTTTTCTAGATTCCTGTTATGAGTGAGACCATCCGGTATTTTTCTTTTTCTTTCTGGCTTATTTCGCTGAGCATGATCCCTTCCAGCGTCATCCATGTTGCTGCAAATTGCATGTGTTTATCTTTTTTGAATGCTGAGTAATATTCCATTATGTATATGTACCACATCTTCTTGATCCAGTCATCTATTTTTGGGCATTTGGGTTGTTTCCAAAGCTTAGCTATTGTAAATAGTGCTGCTATAAACATAGGGGTACAGGTGCCCTTCTGAATTAATGTTTCTGTGTCCTTTGGGTAAATACCTAGGAGTGGAATGGCTGGATCATATGGAAGCTCTATCTTTAGTAGGTTGAGGAATCTCCACACAGCTTTCCATAGTGGTTGGACCAGTTTGCACTCCCACCAGCAATGCAGGAGAGTTCCTTTTTCTCCACATCCTCACCAACCTTTGTTGTTGCTAGTTTTTTTAATATGTGCCATTCTCACTGGTGTGAGATGGTTTCTCATTGTAGTTTTGATTTTCATTTCCCTGATTGCAAGTGATGTTGAACATTTTTTTCGTATGCCTGTTGGCCATTTGCATTTCCTCTTTGGAGAAGTTTCTTTTTAGCTCTTCTGCCCATTTTTTTACTGGATTATTTTCTTTGTTTTTGTTGAGTCTCATCAGCTCTTTATAGATTTTTGTGATCAGTCC